ACAGGTGTACCATTATAGTTTGCAAGCTCTTGTGCCTTAAACTATATATGCAGTATTCATCACATGTTCGAAGCTTCAACTTGACCTGATACATCATTTTAAATATTTATTCCTCTTAAATCTTAAGGTTCCATCAAAATAACAAGTTAATAGCTCCACTTGACACATGTAGAGGTTCTTTGGAAGTTGCCTTTAGAAATTTTCAATTCTCACAAGTTCAAAAGCACAAAATAAGGCCTATCTGTGACGACCCGACCCGTCGTCTCATGAGTTACTACCCTGTTCTTCCCATTTTCTGCTTTCTTATGTTTCATTATCGGTATTGGGTGCGTTAGAATTGATTTGGAATGATTTTGATAAGAAATGAGACACTTAGTCTCTTTTAAGAAGGCTTAAGTTGGAAAAGTCAACCGGATGTTGACTTGTGAGTTAGAAGGCTCGGAATTGAATTCCGATGATTCGGTTAGCTCCGGGTGATGATTTAAGGCTTAAGAGCGCAATTGGGAGTAATTTTGGAGGTCCGGGGAAGAAGTTAGCCTATTTTGGCGAAGGTAGTATTTTGGCGATTTCCGGTTGATAGGTGAAATTTTGATCGGGGAGTCGGAATGGAATTCCGAGAGCTGTTGTAGCTTCGTTATGTCATTTTGGACTTGTGTGCAAAATTTGAAGTCAATCGGACGTGATTTGATAGGTTTCGGCATCGGAAATAGAAGTTGGAAGTTCTAAAGTTCATAAAGCTTGGATTGGAGGTTGATTCATGATTTTAGCGTTGTTTGATGTGATTTGAGGCCTTGAGCAAGTCCGTACTATATTATGGGACTTGTTAGTATACTTTGTTGGGATCCCATGAGGCTCAGATAAATTTTGGAAGAGTTTTTGAAAGATTTTTGCCGTTTTGAGCATAAATGTAATGATCTAAAGGTTCATTTTTAGTTCTAGAGATCCAAATTTGATTCCGAGACTTCCGGAATTTTGATAATGAATTATAGGACTGATCTGGAAATTTTGGTCTAATTTCATCAAGTCGCGATTGGGTTTTTGATGCGAAACATGAGTAATTATTTAACGAGCGAAATGGATATCGCACTTGGCAAATGAGCTCCGAATTGAGTTTCGATTGAAGGGTTGTGTTCGTATTATTATTTGTGACTCATAGGAACAAGAATCGTATAATTCCGAGTTCGTACGAAGGAGTTAGAGCCTTTTTAGTGAAATTAAAGAGTGCTGGTGCATCAGGTCTGGTGTGGCACTTTTAGCGACCAGATTAGCACCTTTGGCGACCAGATTTGGGTCTTTAGTGACCAGATTTGCTTATTAAAAGCTGCTGCGTTTCTGCTCGTTCTTTTTACCTATTTTCTTGCGAAATAACACGGCTTGGGGCGATTTTGAGCAAGAAATCATGGGAAATCTTGAGTTAAGTCACTTGTGATTATTTCTACTCCATAATATTGAATTATCATCGAATAATCCGACTAGATTACATGTTTTTGAGGTGTAAATTGGGGATTTTGGACCTAGGGATTTGAAAATAAGATTTGAAGATTTGAGAGGTCATTTGAGTTCCGATTTTGGTAAACTTTATATGTACGGACTCGTGGCGAGACGAGGAATCCGTTGGTGTGATTTTCGGAATTTTTCGAGAAGTGGGCCCGGGGCTCGGAACTTCGTGAATTTTAGTACTTTTCGAGTATTTTTGATTGGGTTATGTTTCTTTAACCCATATTTATGTATTCGCTGTGATTTTGACTAGATTCGACGCGCGAGGAGGTCGATACAAAGGGAAAAGGCATTGCGGACCAGTCTACGGCCGGTTAGAGGTGAGTAGTTGGTGTATATGATGGCCTGAGGGTTTGAAACCCCGGCTTATTACATTGTGACGCTATTGTAGGGCGTGACTCGCACCCCATGGCAGGTGCGGGATTAGTTATGACTGGGGATTGAGACTTAGTCCATCCCGAACAAGAATGTTTCTATATTGGCGACTGATACGCACCCTGTATTGAATATATCTGGGCTTATTGCCGTGTTTGGGGCCTTGTGCCGATCTGTAGCATCATTAGAGGATGAATGTCATTGTGATAGCATGCTTTGTATAATCATTGATCTCAGTCCTGTGTTTAATCACTATTATGAAATGCTAAGTCACTTTTCCTGAAGTTAAATATCTAAAGTATATTCTCCTTAATAAATTGGAAATTGGGAAATTAATTGAATCTGTTACGTGACTCATATGCATATTGTGGACTGAGTATGGATCGGGCTGCACGCCGCAGCGAATGGTATGATTATATTGCGCTTGGGCTTAAGGAGCCCCTCCGGAGTCTGTACACACCCCCAGTGAGCGTCGTCGACGTTAAATGGATCGGGCTACGCGCCGTAGCGGTCATGTGCATTGCATTGCATCTTTACATTATACTTGACTGATATATTTGAAGTTGTTTTGCTGTTAGTTCGTAGTTAGGTGTTGGACTGTTAGTTTTAGCTTTACTTTGTGGCATTTCGTGGATTTCTTATCTTCAGACATTTTATATGCTTATTACTCACTGAGTCGGTAGTACTCACCCCTACTCCCTGCACCTTGTGTGCAGATTCAGGTACACCGGAGGCTTAGTTGAGCTAGCCGTTGGTTTCCAGAGTTCCAGGAGTTGTTGAGGTAGCTGCTTGACGTTCGCAGGACCTGACTACTCTTCCTATTTCAGTTTTATTTATATATACATTTCCAGACTTGAGTATTTTCGTTCAGATATTGTTATTCAGATTATTTTAGAGGCTCTAGACTCGTGACCCCAGGTCTTTGGGAGCGTTTTATCAGACTTCGTGTTTTCCTCAGTATTATTCTATTATAAATATTGGATTATTATTCTAAAACCATTATAATCTCTTTAGATTGTCGGTTTGAGGTTTACGGTTAATTTGGGAACGATTGTGGTCTCGCTTGCCTAGCAATATTGTTGGGCGCCATCACGATCGGGTTTGGGGTCGTGACACTATCCCAATTAGATAAACTCAAGGTTGTCATTTCACATCACTTTACCTTCTTTGGCAACCTATTTTCTTTTGGAAATCGCCTAAGGTTATTGAATCTTCTTTCTCTCTTGTAGTATTTCACTTGTATTTTTGGAGTGAAATAAAGTTTGAGTTGATTGTGTCCAAGGACTAGGCAAAAATCAAATTTTGCCGAACCTCGTTAATTTCTGGTGTTCCTTTTATTATTGTCTCATTTATTATTTATTAGCTAGCTTTAGATATAGTAGTTGTGATTTAATCACTCTCTATATATTCGGCTTCCGCAACAATTGGTATCAGAGTCAAGGTTCTATCTTAGTATGCTCTGTGGTTGCAGCATAGTCTGAACTTCCACATCAGAAAAGAATTACTGTGGTGTTCTGTACTGTCAGCAAATAAATAGTATCTGTAGCAAAAATGGGAGGTAATAAAAATGAAGAATCTACGTCAAGTGTCAATAATACATCATCATTGGCATCTTCGCTTATGACAAGAATTGTGTCAAATGCGAAATTTGCGGTAGAAATTTTTGACGGGTCAGGACACTTTGGGATGTGGCAAGGCGAGGTTCTAGATGTCCTTTTTCAACAAGGGCTAGATCTTGCCATTGAAGAAAGGAAACCAGATGTTATTGGAGAAGAAGATTGAAAAATTATCAACCGTGTTGCTTGCGGTACCATTCGATCCTACCTTGCTAGAGAGCAGAAATATCCATACACAAAGGAAACTTCTGCAAGTAAACTATGGAAAGCAATGGAGGATAAATTTTTTAAGAAAAACAGTCAAAATAAATTGTACATAAAAAAAGACGGTTTCGCTTCACCTTTGTTCCTGGCACCATAATGAATGAACATATCACCAGTTTCAATAAGTTGGTCACAGATTTGCAAAATATGGATGCAACTTTTGATGATGGTGACTTGGCCTTGATGTTGTTGGGATCACTTCCTGATGAGTACGAGCACCTTGAAACTACTCTACTCCATGGAAATGACGAAGTTTCTCTCAGAGAAGTTTGTTCGGCTTTGTACAGCTATGAACAAAGAAAGGGAGAAAAACAGAAGGCCGGAGAAGGAGAAGCACTGGTTGTGAGGGGTCGTCCTCAAAATCAAACGAGGACAAAGAAGGGAAGATCCAAGTCAAGATCTAGACCCAACAAAGATGAATGTGCTTTTTGTCGAGAAAAGGGGCACTAGAAGAAAGACTGTCCGAAGTTGAAGAATAAGGCCAAACATAACAATGGAAAGGCCATTATGGATTCAAATGTAGTTGATTGTGATTATTCAGACTTCTCATTAGTTAAAACAGAGTCATCAACATCATTAGACATATGGTTGATGGACTCGGCTTGTAGCTATAATATGTGTCCCAACAGGGACTGGTTCGTGGATTCTCAAGAAGGAGAATATGGAGTCGTCCACACAGCGAATAACAGCCCTCTTACCTTATATGGCATTGGTTCAATATGATTAAGGAACCATGATGGAATGATCAGAACATTAACAGATGTTCGATATGTACCGGGTTTGAAGAAGAATCTCATCTCTTGGGAGCCCTAGAATCAAAAGGGTTCAAAATCATTACAGAAAATGGAGTGATAAGAATATGCTCCGGTGCACTAGTGGTAATGAAGGCCAATCGGAAGAACAATAACATGTACCACTATCACGGTAGTACAGTTATTGGGACAACGATAGTGACATCCAGTGACGACAAAGAGGCAAAAGCAACCAGGCTATGGCACATGCACTTGGGACATGCTGGAGGAAAATCCTTGAAAACTCTATCAGATCAAGGATTGTTAAAAGGAGTAAAGACTTGCAACTTATAGTTTTGCGAGCATTGTGTCAAAGGGAAACAGACAAGGGTTAAATTTGGTAGAGCGGTCCATAATACAAAAGGCATTTTGGATTATGTACACTCTGATGTTTGGGGTCCTTCCAAAACACCTTCATTGGGTGGNCTACCCCCCCCCCCCCTCCCCCGTACCTTCTTCAAAATCTTTTTTTTCAGAAATTCCAAGTATCTTTCTTTTCCTTTAAATACCCACAAACCACATTGCTTTTTCTTTACACTTTGATTCTTGATTCTTCTCTTGTTTCTTGCATCTTCTTCTACCTCCTTTTATTATCCTTATATTGTCAAGTGAAAAGGAAAAAAAAGAAAAGAATGGATTTTTATGCATCTTCTTCAACAGAGGAACCCCATGTTCTAGCTGTGGATGACAATCTTGTTGATCGTAAACTTGTTGAGAGATTGCTCAAGAAATCCTCTTGCAAAGGTAATCACTTTCTTGCATCCTTTGATTTTGTAGTTAACTTACAATAACTGGATAATGTATGTGTTTCAGTTTCTCTTTATCACATAAGAAAAATGTAGTATTTGTTTCAATTTTATTATCTTATTCTCTATCCATATATAAAATCTTGAATGTTTCTCAAGCGATGCATTATTAAAATTAAACTCCTCCATCTAGATCCCCACCCCTCTGAATTCAGTGTATTGGCAGTGAGTGCAAAAGTACTAGTAATATTAGTATTAGAGGCGAATTCAGGATTTGATGGTTACATGTGTTACTGTTTTTAATGTAAACTTGCCTCTAGTCAAGGAGGTTGAATTAAGGTGTACATTTGGCTAGTTTGCTCAGTTTTGAATTGACTCGGTTCAGTTCAGTCTATTTTTCAATTGATTCAGTTCACTTTCTAGTCTTGGGCCTGGTAGGAAGCACTTAGATCGTGGCACCTGTCATAACTTTGTTACTCAAGGTGCCACGTTTGATTATATATTTTTTTACATGAAATATCAATGGTATACCAATACGAAACTATCGGAGCGATCGGGTGACGTACCACCCTCTTTCCTCTACAAAGATCCGCCCCTGATTAGCGCTAGCAGTTTTTCAACTTTACATATGTTAAGTTTTGCATCATTATCACATAATAGTATTAGGTGCAACGTAATTGAAGACTTCTAATTCCGATGGAACGGCAGTTAAAGAAAATAAAAAGAAATTTTTGAGAAAGTTTTTTTGGGGTGGGGTTGTAAGGGTGACCGTAACGTGTATGAAAAGTAAAATGACACCATCTTATTTAGATTTTTGGGCCAACCTTTTAGATATGCCAACCTTTATGAATACGTGATCACATATATCTTTCCGAATCCTTTGATGTGGACTTTTAGACTCAAACTTATGTCATTCTCATTATTTTCCTTTTCCCAGAAATAGGAAAATGCTCCTGGATAAAATATTTTATGATCATAAATACTGGATGTAGCACAAGAATAAGGGTCCTAACTAGCTCAGTATGGCCAGAAATTAATACCATGCCTCGAGTTGATTCATCTGTACCTAGTAAACATAATTTTATCTACTTCAATTCATCGGTACTAACTGAATATGCAAGTATTTTTTTCAGTGCGAATCATAATAGTCGGGCCAGTAAGTACTAGATATCGGATATGATTAAATTGGAAAAAGAATCTTTGAATTGTTTTGCTCTAAACATGGGTTCTTAAATATGACCATTATATCAAAACTGTAATTAAGATGATTGATTAATAAGATGAATATAATGAATCTTTAGTTTCTAAAAATTGTTTGTACTTTGCTTCAGTGACTACTGCAGAAAATGGTCTGAGGGCCTTGGAGTACTTGGGTTTGGGAGCTGATCAGGAGCATTCTATAAATGGCAATGTAATTTTTGATTTCTTTCTTATTTCAAGGGATGTTAGTAATAATATTTATATTTATATTTCCTTATAATTTCTGCAGGATTCACAGGTTAATATGATAATAACAGATTACTGCATGCCAGGAATGACTGGTTATGAGCTGCTTAAGAAAATCAAGGTAGTCTTCATTTTTTTTTGTTTCCGGTTAAGAGGTATTTTTGGCACAAATTAATTACTTGAAATGCAAGCAGGAATCGTCGATTTTGAAGGATGTACCAGTTGTGATTATGTCATCTGAGAACATTCCAACTCGAATTGATCAGTAAGTTTATCAATTGCTAGTCTCAAAATATTGAAATTTTGAACTCTGTTATCTGTTACTAATCGAAACAAATACATTTTCTGAAATGAATAGATGCTTAGAAGAAGGAGCTCAGATGTTCATGCTAAAGCCTCTGAAACACTCGGATGTCAAGAGATTACGATGTCAACTAATGCAATGCCAAGGATGAAGTGATCCTCCTTATTACTATCTTCTATTCTAAACGATTTGAAAAAAGAAGCTGAGAATGGTTTTGCATACACAGAACTAATTTGTTGGGATTTGGTATCATTTCTAAGTTAGTTAAAGGCTTGTAGCATCAAGGGATGCATATTCCCTTTTTGTCCACCGTAATAATTTTCTGATTTCTTGATTGTTGTTCATCAGAATTGTCAATACTAGCTAATGTCTGGAATATTCTTCTTCTGAATTTCATCACCACTTTGAACACCATTTCTTTGTTATATATAGCATTAGCATTAGTGTAAACTTTTTGTTTCTTTTGTAGATACCTTTGTAATTTAGTCAAGCCCTTTAAGGCCCAAGGGACAAAATTGATTGCAAAAAGAAGATAAAAGGAGGAACTGTGAGGAATGGTGTTAAAACCACATATTTTTATGGCCAAAGACAAAACTTATATACCTTGACTATATACAATAAGGGGTCGTTTGGTACATAAGGTTGACCACAAACTTGCTTTCCCCTTGTGGAGTATGCCTAGGTTCAATAACGGGCTCCTATGCCTCTCAATCTATTCCGAAACGCGTCTGAAACTCACCCGAGTCCTCGGGGTTCCAAACCAAATATCCACATAAGTCTAACAACATCATATGAATTCGCTCGCACGATCAAAATGCAAAAATAACACCTAAAACTACGAATCGGACATCAAAACTCATGAATTTCAAAGGAAAACTCAACAACCTTTAGAATTGCAACCAAGCGTCCGAATCCTTCCAATCCAACTCCAAATGACACTAAATTTTGCAGACAAGTTCCAAATAGCAAAACGGACATACTCTAAGTCCCAAAACCAAATTCTGAACCCGATAACCATAAAGTCAACCTACGATAAAACGTAGGAAAACTTCTAAACCTCAAATTGCCAACCTTCGGCAAAACAAGTCAAATCAACCTAGGGACATTTGAATTCAATTTCGGGCATATGCACAAGTCTAAAATCACGATACGAACATATCGGAGCCATCAAAGCACCGTTCCGGGGTCATTTTCTCAAAAGTCAAACTTGGGAGTACTGGGGGTAATGAGATCGCACCAGTTTTCTAGGGTACACTTCAGCATTAACTTGTACCCCGAAGAGAGTTATTATCATGGCCTACGAGATCATAGCAGTTATGGAGTGGGGGTCATTACTACCAAAGAATGTTTGAATGTTAGTGTCTACCAAATGATGAAGACTTTCTCTTACAGTAGAACTATATCTCGCCCTTTTCTCTTTCAGCAATATATATACAGTTCAAGTTTTAGCTTGTTGATCCATAAGTTTAGTGTCATAACCAAGTCTATGACATAGCAATTAGCAACCTAGTTTCATGGATATGTACTGCCAACTACATTGGCTTCAAACCACCAGTCCAAGAAGATCAACCATACTTAGCATGCCCACACAATCATTTACTTAGTTATCTTTTTTTATACAAATGATGGTGTACGGACCAACTTGCACGCACCTTGACTAATCCACACGGTGCCTGCCATCTCCTACCAATACAGACACTCGATAACTCTGCCCACCAAATTTAGGAAGATGTGAAAAATTCACCCAATGTTGCCTGTGATGGGATTCAAACCTTAGTTCTTAAAGATGTCAATAAAACTTTTCAAACACTACACCACCCCCTTGCAGTCTCTGCTAATACACCTCCATGCCAAGAGTGTAAGGGAGAGTGGGTATGACAAGAACCCCATAATTTATGCCCCATCGGTAAGTTAGATGGCGAAAGGTAGCAAAGTGATGGGATGTCATGGAAACAATGGTCCAGCCATCTACCGACTGTTCTTTGCCATCTGATTCTAAGAGTTAGGTAAATACATATCCAGTTCAGACTCAAAAGCACAACATGCATTCCAACTTTTCTTAATTATATAGTGTTATCTACTTCGTGGTTCTTATAATTTGCCTACTGCAACGTCTAAGAGATTCATATCAGCATGATTGAGATGCATAACTACGTCCATATCTTTCACGCTACCGAATACCCAAGATTCTTTATAGATGATGCTAAGCAAACTGAGAAGAGCATTGATCACCACACCAAAATCAAATTTAAGGCAAAGGTATGAAATTTCAATCACAATTACACCACAGGAAAACTAATGACTAAAAAAAGCTCAAGTACGCAGACATGGCAGCATATACATATATCAGCTTCCTTATATGAGTGACTAGTGAGAATACATGGCTGTGACTAATTTGCACACTTCCTACAGGAAATGACATCTTATGATGTCACGACCCTAAAACCGACCCGGTCGTGATGGCGCCTATCGTGAAACTAAGCCAGCCGACACAACTCTCTAATTAACCATTAGTCAATAAAAGTCATCTTTAAGCCTTTAATTAATCAAATATCTCGTAATGTTGTTTGACTCAAAAGATGTTAAAATCCTTTTAAGCAAATCAATCACAGAATTGAAAGGGTAAATCGTAGTTGGAGATAATAATCCCCAGGATCGTTTTACTAATCGGGATAATAACAACAATTTATGGATAATAGAGAGGGAGAGATAGAGAGATAAATATTAGAGAGAGAATCAGTTCTTTTGTTAGCAAAATCCCCCCTATTACAATGTTCGATCCCCCTTTATATAAGAGAGGGATTCGAGCTAAACCCTAGGTGTGATAACGTCGTGTACTTTATAACGGAACTAATAACAGGTCGAGGTTGTCCCCCACCTCACCCCGGGGTCGTTCCGCTGTGTCGAGTCGTAGACATTCAACGGTTAGTCACGCAAGCGGTGGGACGTGGTTAGTAAAATTCGACCCCATACAGTTAGTCCCTCCGCTCGTCGGGGTCGCAACGGGATGCGTCTTCGATGGGCGGAATCAACGTGTTCGCCAGGGAGAGTTTGACTTTGTTGACTTGACGCGACATGATAGGTGTGAAATGGCGATCATTGCTGTCGGAACGTTGAAGTAGAACATTCTGCGTTGGATGATGTCAGTGTTCTCACACGTCATCATTACGCATATTCTCGAGGCGAAAAAGAACTGACGTTTTGGCGCTTGGTTTCCCGCGTCGATTTGAAACCTGACGCTTCGATTCTGGCGCCACCCAACCCTATAAATAGGGGAAGGGTTCAATTTCGGTGAAGAGCTTTTAGTCACTCTTGAGAACTTACCAGCCCTCTTATTGATTTTCGTGTTTCTATACTCTCCGTTCTTGATCAGAGGTTTTTTTTTCTTCATTTCTCTTCGAGTGATCTTTTTCGAACAAAAACATGCCCAAATCTCGTCGTACCAAAGAGGATCCTGAGGCTGATCCGTCGAATGCACCGCCCTCCTCCGATGGCGGAGAGGTGGAAGTGGAAGAGGATCTCGGTCCTCTCACGGTGGAAGCTCTATTACCGAGGCATTCTTTGCCTCGGTGTGATTTTAACAAAAATTCTGCAGTTCTGGCTCTGGTGCGTTCCGAGACGGGACTCAACCACTTGGAGGACCTCCGTGCGAAGTACAACATTCCGAATCACGTAGAGATGGTTCCGGCGGGGGAGGACAATGTCGATGTCCATAGGCCGGGCTACTGTGCCTTTTATGAGTACCCCTTTTTGATAGGCTATGGACTTCCTCTCTTTCCCTTGGAGGAGGAGTTCTGGAGGTTCTACTATGTTTGCCCGGCTCAACTCACATACACTTAAAGTACTACTTGTTATTGACCAAATATGCAGCGTTGGCCAGAAGTAGCGTCTCCGTCCATCATCTTTTGCATTTATTCACAGTCGGTTTCCTTAGGGGGACTATGGTGCATTTGAGGATGCGTGGTACAAAGGGATTGGTGGTTGGGACCGACGACCGACCAAGCCGTAAATTTTGGCACAAGTATTTCTTCATTAGGATCGAGCATCTGGTTTCCAACCCTACCGGATTTTCGGAAAGATGGAACCTCACACGTAAGTGTCGTAGTTCATCAAGTCTTCTGTTGCATGTTGTTGTCGTGGTTCTAACTTTTATATTACAGCCATGGCACGCCCACCCCAGCTCGTTATGGGACTAAGGAGCTGGGTCGCCAGTCTGCTGCCTCATGCGGTGGAAACCCGGACCTGGCCTGCTTTCATGCAACGTTACGACCCTCAAGTTCCTACAGGTAAACTTTTGATTTTGCTTCGTCGATTAGTCAACCTTGCCTAACTGTGATCTTATGGTAATAGGTCGAGGTCCCTCCAGGAAGAAGGCGTCAGCTCCTGTTTCCGCGCGTCCTACTACCGTCGCGGACGCTCAAGACCTTTTATGCGAGTCTGTTCGCGGGGATCCTTCTCTTACGCCCCGCCAGGGAGCTATGTCTGAGGTTGCGGCTGTAGGGGAGCCAATTTTGCTGCCGCGAGCTTCACATCCTGCCGACGAATCTTCCCAGGGTGAGGAGCCGCTGGAAAGGAAAAGGAGAAGATTAGAGAAGGGGAAAGGGGTGGCCGTTGAAGTTGATGACGGCGGAAAGTCTCGGGTAGCCTTGGCTCCTACTTTTATGGCCGATGCTATTCGGTCGGGAAGGTCGACACGTGAGGAGAGAGTTGGCCCAAGGGTCGGCCCGGCGCATCCTGTTGAGGGGGGCTCGTCTATAAATGTTGGTGGGGCCAACGTGGAGCCCAATGAATCAGGTTCCGATATCGCCCCTGAGGATGTGAACGAGTTTGTGGGTTGTCATACCCAAATGGAGGCGGCGGTGGATGGACCTGCCCGTCATATAACGATCCCCAGGGATTGCAATCTATTGCTGAGTAGCAAGCAGGCCGTGTCATCGCTCACCCTGTTGTGCGCCGCTCCTGAGAGCGGGATGCTTAGGACAATGGACGATGCGGAGCTATCTCGGAAGGTTGCCGGTATGTCTTTGCAGGTAAGTTTCACCATCTTACTATTTTTCTTTGTTTACTGTAGGATGGGTATGGAAGCATGCTCACTTTTTTTTTCTTTTTTTTAGACCCTCATCCTGGAGGTGGAGAGAGACCGTCATGAGCGGAAGAGAGCGGACCTCTACAAGAAGTTGTTGAGGAAGTACCGAAAGTGCCGTGCTAAGCACCAGTCGGTGGCCGACCTCTACCGACAGGACCCCGAGTTTCAAGTATTCCGTGAGGGGCTTAAGGAGAGGGAGGCCCAGTTGGAACGCAGGGGGGCGGAGCTGGAGGAGGCGGATGGGGAGCTGGTGAGGGTCGTTGCCCGTAACAGCGAGCTGGAGGCTCTCCTTAGGGCGAAGGATGACGAACTCGAGCTGAATCGAGGG